TACAATGTTTGGTTGAATGAATTTCAATTCCATCAAACCATTGAAATACAATTCATATACCATTCTCACTCCGGTGTTGTGGTGTGCAATCGATTAATCGAATCGTTTTAACAAAAATTTTGAAAATTTTAACCGTTAACCGAATCAAATTTTGTATTAGCGAATTAATCGAACCGAAGTTTTTTCCGGTTAACTGATTAACCGAACTTTTTTTATGCTAAAGTTTTAAATCCTAAAAATAATACCCATAATAATAAATCAAATTAAGCTAATACATATAATAATAAATCCATAAGAAAATATACAAAAACAATACCATAACAACATTACATATTTATAGTGATTTTACATATCAGATTATTTATATATATATATATATATATATATATATATATATATATATAATTGGGAAAATGACACTTTTTCCCCTCGAGTTATATACTTATAGCACTTTTTCCACCTGACTTATTCGTGTAAGTACATTAGCCCCCCTCAATTATTTTAAAAGTGGCGGTTTTTCCCCTTGATATATTAAATTGACATTTTTACCCTTAATGTTAACATTTTATTTATTTTTCTTCTCCAACAAATTATTGCGTATACGTAGGGATGACCACGATTCGATTCGAATTGAAACGGACACTATAGCAATTGAATTAAAAGTTTTCGATTATGATTCAGATCCAAAACCCAATATTTGGATTTCAGTTTATTAAAATTATGAATCGAAAAAACTGGATCTTGAACCGTGAACCGGCAGTTCCGGATCCGGTTCACAATTTTGAACCGTCTTTATTTTAATTTTTTATTTATTTTAAAATAGTCTAAATTCAACAATAAATGTATTTTATTTTTTTCAATTCGGAACATGAACCGGCCGTCCCGGTTCGCAATTTTAATAAACTCTAAATATCGGGTTTCGATTCTAAATTGTAATTAGAATATTTTGGTTTAGTTGCAATAGTTTCTGTTTGGTTTGAACTAAATTGTGGTCATAATTTGTTAAAGAAGAAAAATAAATGAAATATTTATTTTAAGGGTAAATATGTCCATTTAACATTTCAGGGGTAAAAACAACCACTTGAATAATTCAATGGAAAAAAGTGTTATAAGTATATAACTTAGGGGGAAAGAGTGTCATTTTCCCTATAAAATTTCGGTTAACCATTCGGATAACTGACAGTTTCGAACAGAATTAACCGTTAACCGAAATTTAAAAAATGTTTAACCATTAACCGAATCAAAAAAGTTTGATTAAAAAATGGTTAATCGAACTTTGTTGGTTCCGTCGGTTAACCAAAAATTTACCGAAGTTTGCCCACCCTACCCCAAGAATTCCAATTCAGTCGTGGATTGCAAAGGAAAAATGAAGAAATTTACAAATTTACCCTTTATTATTATTATTATTATTACTAGTATTTTCACCCGTGCGATGCACGGAATGGAATTGTTGTAATATATTAAGAATAATAATACAGTATAGATATAGATTACAATACAAATTGTATTACACTATTTTATAATATTATAATAGAATTTTAACCCAGAATTATTGTACAAATGAGAAAGTAGAAATCAATATATTTTATTAGGAAGACAGATTTTTTAGAAATTGGGCGGGAAGTTAAAATTTGAGGATTTTATTTTTATATATAGTATATATTACAATAGAAATTATATTACACTATTTTATAATATTAGAATAGAATTTTAACCCATATTGTACGAATGGGAAAATATAAATCAATATATTTTATTAGGAAGACAGATTTTTAGGAATTCTGCGAGAAGTTAAAATTTCAGGATTTTGTTTTTATATATAGTATAGTTGTCCATCGCTGGTACTTCGAATCGAGGGAGGGAAAAAACAACTAAATTACATATTTACTCCGATTATATATAGTATAGTTGTCCATTGCTGGTACTTCGAATCGAGGGAGGGAAAAAACAACTAAATTACATATTTACTCCGACTTAACGGTGTCGTACACTAACAGGGAACCACATGTCCGTTACGGGAGGGGCTATATGTGCCGCACCACATGTCCGTTACGGGAGGGGCTATATGTGCCGCACCGTTTTGATAATTGAGGGGCAACATTTACTTCACTCATAATTCATGGGTGACATTGATAATTAGCATATTATAAAGATGCATTTTTTACAATTTTCCCTAATAATAATAATAATAATAATAAGTAGAATGACAAAATAGTAATATAATTCACCATAGAATTACAACTCCACTAAGTTGTGGAATTGCAATTCCTAGGGTGCTCTATGGAATTACTAATTCCATAGTTGAAGGGAATTATAATTCCACAGAATTGCAATTCCCTCTAACTAAACCATAGAATTGAAATTTCATAGAATTTTGTAGCTAGAGATGAAATTATATCACGTTTCCCTACCAAACACCTCATTAGTCTTTATATCACTTTTCAATTTTCATTCGAATATTTCAAAAATCCTATTACTCCTTACCAAATAACGTAATTTAAATTTCTATTTTATTCTCACCTTATTAGTGTTCGTGCCCGTGTCAATTGTCCATTGAAAAATATTTTTCCTGAAGGGTCACTCCACAAACACAAAGGGGTGCCATCCACACAATCAATTACACAGTTCCTCTTGACTGCTATACTCCTTTTATCATTCAAAGGCTAACTAAAGCCAATTCATTCAATTTTTTCCTCTTCACATATACTTTTACGTACACACCATATAGATCGAAAGAATTTCTTACATCAAATGGTGCCATTTATGCGGAACACAACAAAAAGCTCTGTTCCTATAATCATCTAGAAATTCAATATGCAAAAAGATCACGATATCATTGTGAACAAAGAAAATTGAATTATATTTAGAAATTTAAAATTCTGGGTTACATTGTATAAATCAATGCGTTGTGAGTACAAGTCTCTGGGTGGTCTTCTGATTCTCCAATTGATGTCTTGAACACTCCACCATTGAAGGGCCTCCGGATTTCAAGTGACTTAATCTTCAAAGAAGGGCTTGTATATATAGCTTGTTCTTCTTGAAGGGCCTCCGGGTTCAAATGACTTGATCTTCAATGGAGGTTTGGATCAACATGCATGATTGGATTGGAGGAGGGGTTTTTACTTTCAGGATCACATTTAGGTTTGGATCAACATGCATAATTGGATTGGAGGAGGGGTTTTTACTTTCAGGATCACATTTTCATTGTGATCTCTGAGTAATATATATTTCTAAATGTTTACATGATTTTTTCCTAGGATGTCCGATTACATAGGAATAAGATGTCCTATTTATAGCGGTAGGATAAAAGAGTTTTGATAAACTCAAACTCTTTTGATATTATCTAATTAACAAATTAGATAATATCAATATTATCCATACATAAATTCAAATATACTAATATTGATAAATAATCAATATTTATCAAAATTTAAGTGTCTACAAATGCCCCCTCGAGACTTGCTTGTACACCACTTGAGAGCATATAACACTCGAAAGTAGGGGTGTAAATGAGCTGAGCCGCTCGCGAGTTGCTCGTGAGCAGTTCGGTCAACGCTCGGCTCGAACTCGGTCAAAATCGAGCTCGACTCGAGCTCGAGCAGCTCGTGGATTAAACGAGCACGAGCCGAGCTTAGGTATTGTAGGTTCACGGCTCGACGAGCCGCTCGCGAGCCTTATAATATATTATATAACTAGTATTTGTCCCGTGCGATGCACGGAAAATATGTTATAAAAATATACCCTTATGAGGTTTATTCATATATAAAATTTTTGTTATTTAATAATTATTATGTGTGAATTCCTATGATAAAATTATGAACATAAATATATTTATAATTAAAATAATATTTAAGGTGGGTGATTACTACAAATCTTAAACCATATTAAAAATTTAGTACATAGTATTTAATATTACAAATTTTTAAGAACTTAGTAAACTACAATTGACCTTTAAAGACCAAAATAGTAATTGAATTACAATTTTAGAGTCACCACGGATCAAAATTTTTAGACCTTTGAGATTTCTAACTCTAGATATAGCAACGTACAATTGACCTTTAAAGACCAAAATCACAATCTTAGTTCGAACATTGATTTTTTCTTCCAAATGCTATCGAATTAAGTGTGTAATCAATAAAAGATGAGAACTAATAATTCGAGAATATAATCTTAATGTTACTAAGCCTACTTCATGTCAATTAAGTTGGAGAGTGTTGTTGGATAGTATCCGATGAATCCACGAATAACGCATCTTTGTCTCCGTAGTCCTCAATATGCACATCAACAATCTTAAATATTAGACCACCTAGCTATGCCATATATTAATTTCAAACTTATGAACTTTGGGGTTGCATGAAATAAAAAGTATATTTTAAATTACTAAGGGTACATTATATATTGTATGTAAGGTACTTTCAATATAAAAATAAGAACAAATTGCACTTTTGGTCCTGTGACTATTAGGGTACTGACAATTTGAGTACGTGACTTTCAAAACTCTCAATTTAAACCTTTAACTACGCAATTATTAGCAGATTTGGTCCTGCCGGCCAATTTTGGCCGGAAAAATGTAATTCTTTTAAAATTATTTATTTATAAGGGCAAAATGGTCATTTAACGTCATTTCTTCTTCTTCTTGCGTCTGCTCCGTCTCCCAACTCTCCTCCTTCTTCTCCGCCGCTGGTTCCAGCTTTGTTCGTGATCGGAGACTCCGGCTTTGTTCCGGCGTGGAGGCAGGCCTGTTACAAGCCCCTTGTCGCTGATTGTTACATTAAAGGAGCAGAAGCAAAAGATACATTGATACATACAAGCTGCGGCAACCCTTATGGACCAGAAACTGGGGAACATAGTAAGAGCAGAATGTTCCCACAGAGTTTACATCATGTGTTGATATAAGACATATGATAAATTCGACTTCAACAACAATAATCCTCCTGTCTTTTATCCAGAGAGTTGAAGAAGATATAACAAGATAATATATATATATATCAACACACACTGATCCAACCCATCATGATTATCATCAGAATTATAATCTCAGAAGTAAATTAAAATTTTTAAAAAAGTGAATTCTCTTCAAACAACAGACTCATAACCTGACCCTTTTATCATCGTAGTTTAATTTTAGTTCTAAAGGATGATTTGGGATTTTCTTGTTTTTTTTTTTTTTTTTTTTTTTTTTTTTTTTGTCACCATCCTTTTTCCCCGGCAATAAAAAAAGGAAAATAAAAAATCAAGTAAATACTACACAATCAATTTGGCTTCCATTGATGATAAGGAAGCCAAGATGAGCCGCCGGCACCGCCGCTGCCGCTGCCGTCCGTCAGAGACATAGAGCTGTGCAGTGAAGATCGTTGGCTTCGGCATCGACGCCGTCTATCGGCGACGGCATGTTGAGGTCGAAAGGGAGCGGCTTTCTGAAAGAGGAGGAGACGAAGTTTTCGTAGTCCCCGTCTTCGACGACGGAGGAAGATGAATCGCAGTCGCTGTGGCAATCATCGGGAACAACCGGCGACGACCGGGGATGGTGGCGAGAAGGGATCGCCGGCGGCGTTGTCGTCTGTGGCCGGGGCGGCCTGGGCCCACTAAAGGACTCCTTTAAGCTCCTGTTACAGCGGGAGATGGGAGCAAGCAGTGGCGGGAATGGAAACCGAAACAGAGGAGGAGGTAGGTGCTGAAGCCTTGCTACGTTCCGCGTGGCAAAGCTGGCGGAGCTTGGTGGGGACGTACCAGATGGAGAGGCGGGGGTGGGCATTGAAGATGGCATCGACATCCCAAGTTTGGAGGGCAGCAATGGCGACAAGGGGCTTGTAACAGGCCTGCCTCCACGCCAGAACAAAGCTGGAGTCTCTGATCACGAACGAAGCTGGAACCAGCGGCGGAGAAGAAGGAGGAGAGTTGGGAGACGAAGCAGACGCAAGAAGAAGAAGAAGAAATAACGTTAAATGACCATTTTGCCCTTATAAATAAATAATTTTAAAAGAATTATATTTTTCCGGTCAAAATTGGCCAGCAATTTGGCCGGCAGGACCAAATCTACTAATAATTACGTAGTTAAAGGTTTAAATTGAGAGTTTTGAAAGTCACGTACTCAAATTGTCAGTACCCTAATAGTCACAGGACCAAAAGTGCAATTTGTTCTCAAAATAATGTATTTTTAATATATTAAAAATGTATTTGATATTCATGATCCCTACAATTATGTGGACCATCGTTCACACAATAATTTGCCAGTAGAAATTGAAATATAAATAAATATAATAAATAAATATATATATATATATATATATATATATATATATATTTATTTATATATATATATATTAGAAACTGTCAGTGGAAATTATTATCATTATTATTATTGCAATTATTATTACTATTATTGTTATTGTTATTATAATTAACAATATTATTATGGTCTTGTGAAAATTAAATGGTGATGATCACCATTTAATTTTCACAAGACCACATGACTTTATTATATATAGGATAGGATATATAATATATAATTATATTATATTATATTTAGTATATAAAAATAATAATTAGGGGAGGGAAATTAAAATACTTTAATAATTATGCATGGATAAAAGTCATAAAATAAAGTAGTTTAAATTTTAAATCAAACAAGTCAAATTCGATATCAAAATTGAGCTCAAATTCAAGCCTAAACTCGAGCTCGAACAATCGAGCTGCTCGAGCTCGAGCTCGAGCAGCTCGACAATTGCCGAGCTCAAGCTCGAGCTCGAGCATCAGTTCACGAGCTCGAACGAGCTCGAGCTCAAGCTCGAGCAATGCTAACATTAACGAGCACGAGCATGAGCCTACCCTGGCTCGGGCTCGGCTCGACTTGTTTACACCCCTACTCGAAAGTATGTAGTGCAAGAAAGTCTCGACACTACAACTTAAAGATATAAGGCCGTTTCAACTCGTGCCAAGGAGCCTTGAAAGATATGAGGCCGTTTTTACTCGTGCCAAGGAGCCTAAATATGAGGCCGTTTAAACTCGTGCCAAGGAGTATCATTTAGCCTCCCCCGTTTCAAATTTCATATGGGGTTTGTCCCCATACCGGTTGAAAGTGCCTATGAAGAGATGAGAGGCAAGCCGTCCCACCGGGCGTGCCAATTTGTGAACAAAGAAAATTGAATTATATTTAGAAATTCAAAATTCTGGGTTACATTGTATAAATCAATGCGTCGTGAGTACAAGTCTCTGGGTGGTCCTCTGATTCTCCAATTGATGTCTTGAACACTCCACCATTGAAGGGTCTCCAGGTTTCAAGTAGTGGTTTAATCTTCAAAGAATGGCTTGTATATATAGCTTGTTCTTCTTGAAGGGCCTCCGGGTGGATTGGAGGAGCGATTTTTACTTTCAGGATCACATTTTCATTGTGATCTCTGAGTAATATATATTTCTAAATGTTTACATGATTTTTCCCTAGGATGTCCGATTACATAGAAATAAGATGTCCTATTTATAGCGGTAGGATAGAAGAGTTTTGATAAACTCAAACTCTTTTGATATTATCTAATTAACAAATTAGATAATATCAATATTATCCATACATAAATTCAAATATACTAATATTGATAAATAATCAATATTTATCAAAATTTAAGTGTCTACGATCATAATCTTCTTCGTCAAGATGCCTTCTCCAATTTGTTGCCCCTCTGCCATTCACTCTAAAATAATAAAAATAATAATAAAATAAAATACAGTGGACTCCACCCGCATGCAGCGCTGGAGCCGGAGTTTCTCACCGCCGACAATCAAGGACGGAGTCAGAAAATAATTTGAGTGGGGGGCGAAGTTTAAATAATTATAGAAATGTCAATTACAAAATATCAAACAACCATAATAACGTTAAAATATAAAATACCTTATAAATTACAATAGAATGTTTTTGATAGATTACACCATAGTTAGAGTCGGAGCCAAAAATATACTTGAGTGTGGTGAAAATGTAAACATATTTGTGACGGAATATGAAACATAATCAATTAGATAAAATAATTTGAATAACACTATATATATTCATAAATAATTTTTAATTTTAATTTTTTAGTTAGATCAAATTTAAGTGTTTCTAAATTAATTCGAATACAATGAAGTATAATATAAACTTGTATACTACATTAATTAAATGATTCATAAAAAGTAGAATAATTTAATTTGTTAATTAGATGATTTATAAAAGTACACTAAAAAAATATTTAATTTATCTTGGAAAGGAATGAAAGAGATAAAATAAACAGGTAAAGATAAGGAAAAGTGTTGTTAATGAAATTTGAACCTATATATGACCATACACTTTTTAATTCTCCCTCCGTCACATTTTATGTGTCTGGTTCAGTTACGAGACTTGACTGGAGTTATTTTTAATTCAATTTTTCATAATATATATTAAGTTTAGTATTAGTATACAAAATTTATATATTTAGATACTACACTAAAAGTACTATTAAACAGAAAAAATCAAATTTAATAATGAGTAAAAAATATTAAAGAAAATAAACAAAGAAGAAAGAGTTGGTTTGAACAATAATAAGACAGATAAAATGGGATAGAGGGAGTATCAAATTTGAAGTTCAACCAACTAATACTCAAACTATTAGCGTTTTAAACATAAATATAAATTTGAGGAGGGGGGGGGGGGGGGGGGGGGGAGTGAATAGACTCTAATCAATTTTTCAAAGTGACTCCTTTCGGAGCAATGCACAGCGGAAATAGTGTTTTGTCTTAGATATTCTTTGCACACTTTCGTTAAAGTGAAAACTTAGCGTTTGGTCGATATGATATGCAATGCACGAAAGTAATATAACGGAATGTAAAGAGATATGGAGAGAGAGATTTTTATAGTGGTTAGGCTGTTAACTAAGCCTACTCCATTCTTCTTCCACAACTCGTGAAAGGGTTTTCACTATCACTCCTAGTACAAACTACTTCAAGCTGGCTTCCTTGATCACTAAGCTGGACAGCCACTTGAAAGGTTTTTCAAGTCCACGAGTTTACTCCGCCTCTATCAACTTCTTCTTAAGTTGAGATGTTGGAAGGATAATCTGATGTTTCTCCAACAGGTTGAAGCCTTGTCTTGAAGTCTAGTTGAATCTTCACTTGAGAAATTACAAGACCGCTTCTTCAAGTTGTGAAGTATGGAGATGAATATGTCTTTGAAAAACTTCACAAGATCACTGGTTATGAAAAGCTTTAGGGGATGGAACTGTTTGAAGAGCTTTTCTTTGGATAGCAAGAGTGAATTAACCAGCACATTTTTCAATGGTGAAGAGAGGTATTTATAGGCGGAAAAATCCATCCGTTGGAGGGAGATGAAGATTTCAAACCTAATAACCAGTGAGTATTACCCAGTGGGCATTGGGCATTTAATGCACTTGTACTGTATAGTTGTTGGAGCTAAAAGCATTATGACTTTTGTCCTTGATCTCTGACAAGATGGTACAAGTCTTTTAATGCTCCTTGTCTTTTGTGAAGATCATTCCTAGGACACTTTTTGTCCGAATGATTTGCCCATCTGATTCATAGACAACATTCTCATTGCTTCAGTTAATGAGTGTTGTCTTTTACAAGTCTGTCTTTGACTTGTTGGTCGAAAGATTATCTTTCGTCCTTTGTCCTTTCTTCTTTGACGAAGGTTCCTTTTGTAAAAGCAGTTTATCCGAGACTTGTTCAATCCTTCTTTCGTCTGGAAGCATCTTTCGATCACTTTGTCATTTTCAAGTCTTCATGTAGATCTATTATGCTAGTCTCGTGCAGGATTTATACACCTCATGGGTCTGTTATAGGAGACTTATCTAAGAAACGAAAAATAGGGGTCTACAATCTAAGACAATTTGTATCATCAAAATCTAAATGCACTTGTTCCTAACAATATATATATATATATATATATATATATATATATATATATATATATATAAATAATTAGGTTCTGGTGCGGTTAGAGTGCCCAGGTGCGGTTTTGCGGTTTAATCTGGACCATTCATCTCGCTTAAATCAACGTCCAGAATTGTCAAAATTTAAAAAAAAAAATGCGGTGGCAATTTTGTAATTTTTGCATGTAGGTCAAAATTAAGGTGAGCGGATCTGTGATTAATGTGCGTGGGGTTTGTGCTTAATGTGCGTGAGGTTGTGCTTAATGTGTGTGGGGTTTGTATTTAATGTGCGTGAGGTTGTGTTTAATGTCAATAGTTGTTGAAACTTAAAATCTGTGAGTTAATATATTAAAGTGCGTGGGGTTTGTGCTTAATGTGCGTGAGGTTGTGCTTAATGTGTGTGGGGTTTGTACTTAATGTGCGTGAGGTTGTGCTTAATGTCAATAGTTGTTGAAACTTAAAATCTGTGAGTTAATATTTAAAGTGCGTGGGGTTTGTGCTTAATGTGCGTGAGGCTGTGCTTAATGTGTGTGGGGTTTGTACTTAATTTGCGTGAGGTTGTGCAAACGCTATCATTTGTGTTGACGCTACTCATTTGTGTAGACGCTATGTGTAGACGCTAACATTTGTGTAGACGCTATCATTTGTGTAGACGCTGTGTAGGCGCTATCTTCTTCCCGACACGCGTTTTTTTTTTTTTTAATTTTTATTGATTTGAGCCGTTGATCTAAATTTGATCAACAGCTCAGATCTAACCGCACAACTGCACGGGAAGCTATACCCGCACCTGAATCCTTCGCTATATATATATATATATATATATATATATATATATATATATATATATATATATATATATATATATATATATATTCAAATACAAATCCCCCTTAAAA